GGAAAACTACCTAGTTACAATCATTGATGCTGTCTTTGAAAACCAAGATATCTTAACGCTGAGAACGGTATCTTGTAGACAATGAACTAGCGCATCTTTTATGTTCTCAAAAAATTTTCCAGATTTGGTGCAAAATATGTCAAAAATGTGTTTTTTGAGTTTAAGTCTATATCATTGGAGGTAGGTTATATCTGAGCAAACTCTGTCTACATCATGACAATTTCAGTTCTATTGTGTGCAGAAAAACATCCTTGAATTGTTTTTACTTTTGGTATACATATGTCAAAATTTGACCCCAAAATTTTTATAAAAATTTTTACATAAAATTTCATTTTCAGGTTTTGACTTCTTGTCACCTGTTAGAGTAAGGAACAGGCTATTACATGGTACCAAGGATTAGTCCATGGCTTGATCGGTTTTGAAGTTAGAGCATGTCAAACTCTTGACATGCACCAGGAAAAACCACCTGTTTTCACCGGATTTTTTCTAAGTGCCACGCGTAACGCTATGGGGAAAACTACCTAGACACAATCGTTGATGCTGTCTTTGAAAACCAAGATATCTTAACGCTGTAAACTGCAGTCTTGTAGACAATGAACTAGCGCATTTTTTATGTTCCCAAAAAATTTTCCAGATTTGGTGCAAAATATGTCAAAAATATATTTTTTGAGTTTAAGTCTATATCATTGGACGTACATTTCATCTATGCAAAATCTGTCTACATCATGACAATTTCACTTCTATTGTGTGCAGAGAAACATGGCTGAGTTGCTTTTAATTTTTGTATACATATGTCAAATATTGACCCAAAAATTTTCATATAATTTTTTTTAAAAATTTCATTTTATTGTTTTGATTTCTTCTGATCTGATAGAGCAAGAAACGGGCTATTACATGGTGCCAAAGACTTGCCTATGGCTTTGTTGGTTTTGAAGTTAGAGCATGTCAAACACCACCTGTTTTGCGCCGTCGTCGTCCAACGCGTAACGCTATGGGGAAAACTACCCCTATAAAAAACTACCTCCATATAATCGTTGATGGTGTCTTTGAAAATCAAGATATCTTAATACCGAAAACATCATCTTGCAGACAATGAATTAGCGCATCTTTAACGCCCGCAAACTTTTATGTTCGCAAAGTTTTTTCATCGCTATTTAGGGTAACATGTCAAACAATTCAGAATCAGGCTGAATAGGGAGTTTAACACTGGGGATGAATGGGGTAAAACGGTCTTTACTTAATGAGCTGTATCTCCATGATCACGTAACCAAAAGATGTTCTGAAAACGGCGCTAGAAAGGGAATGACTGATTCTAGCCTCTGTCAAAGTATTAGCTTCCTGAACACTAAATAAAGTTGTCAAAACAGATAAGGAATCTTGCCTATATTTTTGCTGCATTTTACGAATAGTTTAAACGTGTTTTCTCAGAAAACTAAGCGTCGGACGAAAAATAGTCAAGAGACCATTCTGATTTAGAATCACAAGTTGCATCTAGTAGATTGATCAAATTTTTGAAATTCATGAAATCCAAAAAAAATAGTCGACATGTTTTTTTAAAGTTTTTATTGTTTTTAAATAAAATTTATCAAGTTACATCAAATCTCATTGCAGATTCGAACTCAGCGTGTTATGATGCACTAGAAACAATGTTTTAAAAATTTCGGCGCTTTCTAAAAAAATTTCAAATTTTTGGCAATTTTTCGAGTTTTTTCAAAATAACTCAAAAACTTTTTATTTTATCATGTTAAAAGATACATCACCAGATGCGCCATAACATTCCGCGTAAAATGACGTGCGTTACAACAAAATCCAATAATTTTGAAAATCGGCCAATTTTTGTCTATATCAAATTGCAACACGTATATCTCTCTAACCAACTGAGATAAAATTTTGATTTTGATTGCAATCGACGCAGAATTAAATTTGAAAGTTTTTGACGTCATATGTCCTATACCTGGTAATGGAAAATTTTTGAACTACAACTAACTTTTTTCAAAAAATGTCAAAATTTTTCAAAATTTTTTTTTGGGTGGGAAATGAAAGCTGTTGGTCCCCTTAGTGCGTGCACCAAGAGGGAGGTTTTTCTGTTACGATTTAGTAGGTTTTATTAGCTGTAGAAGACCCCCTTAAACGAGGATAAAATTGTCACATTAGTTTATTCGGGAACCATGAAAATCCAAATATTTGCCAAAGTTACTGACCGATATTCGATTTGCTTTTTGCAACGTGTTTCTGAGCACAAGAGCTATCTTTTTGGTGTTGAATGTTTTCGCATCAGATGTATGGAAAGTTGAGAAATTTGGAAAAACTTTTTCCCATAGCGTTACATGCATTTTGGTTTTTTGAGTTTATCTCGGCCAAATGATGACCGATTTCAAAATTTCAAAAAAGGAAAGATGCGTCTTGACGTGGGACATCGTTCTTTTTTTGAATCAAGTAAATCTGTTGAGTAGTATTTTCTATACACTAACATAACCTAACGTCTCGGAAGGTGTTCAAAACATCAGCTCATATGCGGTCAACGGGGAAATGGGGTCGTATAGGCTTGCCGATTTCGGCATTAAAAAAAAACTTTTTTTCTACCTAAGTTACGAAGGTTACGAATTGACATAAGACCTAACCTAGGACGTTCTTAAACGTGTCAAAAAATCAAAACTCTAGCATATATGGAAAGTTGAAAAAAACTTAAAAAACGATTTTTCCAAAAATGCCTTTGCGCGAACAGGTCCCCCCGAAAAAGTTTTTGAGTTAGGGGTCTGAGTCTAGGGTACATGGTAGAGAATGACCGGGGCTACATTTTACTAATTGGGTTCATGACCCTAGGTCAACCGGAAGTGACCTAAAAAGACCATGTAAGAGAGGGATATAATTGTCACAATTGCCCTCGGCGAGGAGGATACAATCCGCACAAAAAGGGATACAATTGTCACATTCGTTTAAGTCTGCCTGTTTCATAAACTTACCTACACGCGATATTGGCGTTGGACAGCGCGAAGAAAGTCTGCCTGCCGCCGCGTCTTGTGGCGTTCCCTTCGCATGAACTCATCGAGATACCTGGGATGAAGTCCAGGCTTGCGACATGTCGGAAATGTGTGACTTGCGAAGGAAGCGCTTTACTCCGCCGAAGTAGTCCTCCACGCGGTTGGTGTGTTGCGCCGTCCTCCGCTACAAATGTTTGGGAATGATTCACTGTGCGGTGGACATAGCCAAGCCTTTCTAGCGAGCCGTAGCTACGGTGCTCATCACTGTTTACTGTGCTACCTTGCTCTACATGTTTTTTTTTTAATTTTCGGTACCACGTCTGCCATTCGCCTGATTTGAATGAAACTCCAGAACTCCGACTTTATTTTCTGGGTCGTAAATGGGCATGATCCAACATGTTTTCCACAGACCCGTCGGCCACTATTGTATTTTCGCCTTGATGGGGGCTGCCTCGTCGACAATTATGGCTTTTTCCCGCCGTCCTCCCAACTTTGACACGTTTGGGCCGCGCATTAGATCCTTTGACATGACGTCGCAGTGGAAACTGAAGCCAGTCCACTACAACCTTTTTACTGGGAGTGGTGTCGACCAACTTCGTCATGGCACTTTTCATTTTACTTCGACCACAACGTACGCGTAGGTCATTTCTAGTACGACCAACGGTCTGAGGTGCTAACCAGCGAAAAACCCGCCTTCTAAACACGCTTGATTTTTTCGGCACCTGGTACAGCGCCAAGCCTTGCAAAACACCCATGTGTTTGCCATACGCTCCTTCCACCATACGCTTCTTGCACAGCAAATTTTTCCTACTTTCCTTATGAGACCGTTTTCGCCGAGGAGTTTAAAAGGTCACTGGGCCTTCGGTCTTGAAATCCAGTTTTAATAAGTCCCTACTAAACGATCCCACTTCGCGCAACTCCCACCCTCAGCTCTCGTCAATATCGCTCGAACCTGCTTGGATACGGAATAAATATAGTTCTATTGCATTATTATTGTTACCCTTGGCACCCGTATATTTTTATGGTTCTTGATAAGCAGTTATGTTGTCACCACGCGCCAATAGCGTGACAATCACGCTGAGGGCCGAGGTTTGCCGCGTGTATGCGGCGCTCGGGAGCTTGCCGTCGTAATTGTAGAGAAATCGAAGGTAAGAGCATGAATCTACCTGTTTTGTGATTATTTACGATATGTTCTGCCTTAAACACGACGAATGATGTACAATGTTCTTTTCTAACATTAGGGACCAATGTATACCTACACTCTTACCGTGGACACAATAACTTTCACGTTACCGGCAGATTCTATTTTGCGAAATGTGAAGAAGACGTGCGTGTGCTTTAACACGTTATTAAGGCCGCTTTGTGGTTTTGAGCTGTAGCGCCGCCTTTCACCCTCTATTGTGGCCATGTCAGGGGGTTGCATGAAAGCTCCAATAGCGTATATCTTTTGGCGTTAGGATACGCAGCATGTCATATGCAACATTGTCATGCACGCGTGAAGGGATCTGAATTCCAACTTACTCTGCGAAACTAGTGTGGAGCTAACTTTGCCCATGACAAACATTTGAGGACAAGCATTCGTCGTCGTCAATACGTCGACGCGTCGAGAAGTACATGTTTTAAGTAGTAAAATTATGTTATCAGAAGATTCTTTTACCCTTGAAAGCTTGACAATAGTGACGAGCGAGTTTTTTTCCATCGCGTCTGATGGTTATCCCAATGTCTTCATAAGGGGAGCAGTTTACTTGTTCCAATGTTTAATGTGTTAAAGACTTAAGCATGTTTTGTGAAGACACCTGAGAAGAACTTAACCCTTTCAGAAATCTCCCCATTCCTCCATTGCTACGTGGTTATTACGATCGCTGGAAACACCGTTTGCGCATTATTCTTCATCCGCAACGAATTTTCTAAACGGCTGCATGGTTACGCGGGTTGTTGAGCTCATGACGTCATCATCAGCTGTCATACCTAAGGGATTTCGACATGTGCGCTGTGTAGGCTATTGGCCGCATTCACGATCACCACCGGGCCGTTCCGGTTTGGTTCTTGGGTGTCGGGGCTAGTTGAGGTGAAAGTGCGGGCCATCTGACTGTCGGAATACTGGTTTTTAATTTACAACACGGCTGAGGGGAGTGAAATTCCTTGACTGACTTCGCGTGGTGCCGTTGCACAGCGTGTCTCGCGCGGATTTTCTGTCACTTTGCATTGAAAAGGTATGATTGGTGCCTTATATCTCAGTGTTTACAATACCTTCCAGCTTACTGGGTAAGTACATTCCTAGCGACTTGCTTCGGTTTAAATGTCTGATAGGTCCTTGGGCAGGTGCGCCAGCCTGGAGATGAGTTCAGCTGGTTCTTCTAATGTCATTTGTACCATTTCGCAGTATGGAATCCCTGCACATCACTTCACTGTTATGTTACAGCAGCCATTAACTTGATGATCCCCAGTCTGCAGACTATTTGCCAGACATCCAAAAGCTGTCACTACACTTTCCCAGACATCTATGGTTTATCAGTATATCAAACATCGTGCTTGTGTGCACCAGACTCAGCCCAGGCTATGGGTGTGACCAGGGCAGCAAGCATGCTCTAAAGCCTGTGTCATCATCATCAGCCCAGGTCAAATTGAATCAAATTTTCATGTGATCTGTGTATGAAAAATATTTTTTCAGATTGTTTGCTTAAGCTTAAATTTGCACAATCATGTTAATTTGAAACAGTGGCTGGTCATGGGCCAATTTGTAGTACCAGCATGTAAAGCCCTAGAGCCTTCATTTTCAGCATTAATGCTTTTAAACTGTTGATACATTGTTGCTACATTACCAGACATATTGGCATAGCAGCATTTTGGTGTGGGTGTACATTGCTACCAAACATTAGAAAAAATTGTACATCATTTGTTGTGTTTGAGGCGGAATGTATTGTAAATAATTTTAAAACAGGTAGATTTATGCTCCTACCTTCAAATTTTAATATTTACAATGGTGAGCGCCGCACGCACAGCACCGCCTAGACTCCCCAGCGCCGTTTTTGCATTGCCGTTGCGTAATTACAATATTTCTGATTATCAAGAACCATAAAAAATGTATGGGACCAAGGTAACAATAATAATGCAATGAAAAACGTTTCTTATCACGTCTAGGTATGTTTATGAAACGGACAGGGCAGAATAGTCCAGAACATAGCCTAAACTAAACTAGCCTAGCCTAGCCTAGCCTAGCCTAGCCTAGCCTAACCTAACCCAGCATAACCTAACCTAACCTAGCCTGGCCTAACAACCTAACCTAACCTAACCTAACCTAACCCAACCTTATCCCCTTCAACCCAGTGTCCCATTGGCATCCATGCTCCATGCCATATATATGCACCGTATTAAGAAGTTTTGTTTAGCCACCATATTCTCATTTTGCTTTTCATTCCCACGCAAAAACGTCATATCTCCCCACCATGTTGGCCAATCTACAAACAATACGGAAGACTGCTTGGATACGCAAGAAACACGTTTTATTGATTTCTTGTTACCTTGGCCTCGTACATTTTTATAGTTCTTGATGTGCGGTAATGTTGTGATCACGCAGCGACGTTGCGATCACGCGTAGAAATGGCGCCGGGGTCGCGGTTGCTGCGTGTTTGCGTTCGGATGTTCGCTATCGTAGTAAGGTAAGTTTCAAGGTAAGAGCTTAGCTGACCTGTTTTATGATTAATTACGCTATGTTCTGCCTTAAAAACAACGATTGATGTACAATGCTCTTTCTTAACATGAGGTATGAATGTATACCCTGACCTGCATTTTTGCAGTGTGAAATGAAGCTCTTGTATTTCTGTAGCTCCAAATGATGCCCAGGCTGCATATCCCTACATCCATGCCATCTATCTGCCACACCTGGCCTGTTTATCAGCACAGCCATCTATGTGGTGGCAATGTGAAAAATAATCACTTTCTGTAACTTTGTTTCCAGATGATTATTACTGCTGATGATAGCTTCTCACTTTCTTGTGCCATGCTAATACAAAATCAACATATTGAAAATGTGTGTGCCCTCTACACAGCATCCTTGCAGCATGCATCATGCCCATGCCTTGTTTTCATATGTAGCTATATGGCTTTTCCTTCTGGCTGTTTAGTTTCATAGTTTTGAGCCTTTTATTCTGTCAGCAAAGTGGCCACCATCACAGGCAATCTGATGAAACAAATTGTGTCTTTTCTCCTCTCTATCTAGGTGGGCTTACTTATTTTTCCTGACATGGTCCCACATACTAGAAGAACGCTCTCTTGAAGGACTGTGGGAGAGGACTGAATTGCCCCTTAAGCTGTTTCAGACTGCAATGATGATAGAGGTAAGTGATGTTATCAACCAAATTATTGGAGAAGAGGAACAGTAGTAAGATAGCTTCTTTGCTGTTTGGTCAAGAGGATGTTTATAACAATATGCTTTGCCTATTGTTACCAATATAACAGTTGCCTCTTTATCTTATAACCAATTAGTTACTACCTGTTGTAAGTTATGGACAGCATTTTATGTAGACTATGGCAGTCAGAACATGCCCAAGGCTCACACCACATGTAGTGGTCAGGTTCCTCTCTAGGACCTTAAAATGCATAGCTGGGCACCTTTCCATTGAGCCCCTCCACCAGCCTGCCACAGTCACCGCGGCTGCGTTGGTGCAGCAGCGGCGGCACCGCCGCGCGCGCGCAAGGCCACGGCCCGTTGACTGAGGGCGGCACCACCGCCGACAGGTGTGCCACTGCCTGGTGGGCCTGGTCCGCTCCAGCCCCGTGACCACGGCCATGCAGATCGTCTCGCGCGTGTTCATCGTCTGGCTGATGCTGGACCAGGTGCCGGACACGCGCACCGGGCCAGGTCAGTCGGGCCGCGCCGGTCGCCAGCCGGTGCCGCCGCCGGGCCGCTCTCCGCGCCCGGCCGGCCGGCCGAGCGTCACGTGTCCACTTCGATCCGGCTCTCGTCGGGCTCATTGTCGTGATAAAGGGCCCTGTTAGATCTTTCTTTAGGTCTTTTGGCACAAGGCGCTCGTGGTGTGTGAGATCGACTTGAATTCCCGGGTTCGCTGGGTAATAATGGGTCCCCCTCGGTGCCGAAAACAGCGTCAGCGTTACGCTCAGTAAACAACATACCTTGCCCGCCCACCTTTTGCGCCTGTCGTGCGGCGCAAGACTCGCCACATCATTTGACGCTCGTGTCTCCGACCGCTGCTGAGCGGCGACGTCATCTGCGATATCCCGTGCACGCCAGGTATCCTGTTCTGCCTGGCCGCCTGGCCCCTGGCCGAAATGGTTCGCTACCTGTACTACCTGGCCAACGCTGTCGGCTGGGTGCCGTACGTGCTGACGTGGGCGAGGTAAGCGTGCCGGCGCTGTTCAGGCCGCGCACCGGTCAAGGCACCGAAGTCTGCGTGCGACCCACGGCCAGTTGTGTTCCGTAGAAGACGAAGGTGGGGGTACCGAGTGCCGACCATCGGGGCATGCCATGAATTCGTATGGTACTGCGCAATTCTCGACATTCCCATCACAGATGCAGATCCGGTACTGATTTTGCTCTCCACCGATGCCACTATGCGTAAATCTTGCGTCCCTTGTAGTGTGTATCACCATCAGCACATGTGATCGCTTCTGGCGGGGCTCCAGCCCACGGTGAGCAGCGCCGCCACCCGACGGCCGAGCGCTCCGTCCGCACCGCGGCCGGGGCGTGGCGGCAGCCGTGCCGTCGGCAGCGGGCCTGATGGCGACCGGCACTCGTGGCGGCAGGTACAGCTTCTTCCTGGTGCTGTACCCGGTCGGCGTCCTGGGCGAGACCCTGAGCTGTTACTACGCGCTGCCCTACTGCCGGGAGAAGCGGCCACTGGACGTGACGCTGCCCAACGTGGTGAACTTCACCTTCAACACGTACTATGTGCTAATCGGCATAATGCTGCTTTATGTTCCAGGTGGGTGTAATGAGCTATGAGCCGGTCGGCAAAAATTGGTCGAACATTGTTTAAAATGCGATTTAAAGATAGTAACAGGTTCTTAAATGAAAACAAAATGCAACCATTATTTGCGTATCGCCTAGAACATGTGCCGCACTATACCACATCAGCAGGCGAGCTCTCGTACGTCGTTTCATGGTTTCCATCCATTGCCTTCGTCTTGTGCACACCACGATTGATGAGCAGTCCGTGGTTTCACGTCCTGCACTCCAAAGTTAGCGGGAACACGGACCCTGATGGACGCATGGAGGGCATGCGAGCGTGCCACCATGCCATGCCCCCCCCCCCCCCGTGGTGCTGCGGCGCGGGCAGGCCGCGCGCTGAGCCTCGCCGACTCTGCTCTCCCTCGCCAGGCCTGCCCGTCATGTACCGCTACATGCTCAGCCAGCGGCGCAAGGTGCTCGGCGCCGCCGCCAAGGCCAAGAGCGAGTAGAGGGCGTGGCCGGCGCCGGCCGGGCTCGGAGAGGCGCCGCCTTCAGCCAGCGGACGCGGAGCTTACTGACGCGTGGTTGTGGGCCGTGCCGCGTGGTGTCTGGTGCTGTAGCGGAATGGTAGGCGGCACGGGGGTGTTCGGGCGGTACGCTGTTGTTTGCGGGAGGCGCTAGCGAAATATACATATCATCGATGGTTGGTAGATAGTTGACGCGTGTCCTTCGGTGGCGTTGGGAAACGTGACGCAGACCATTATCAGACCCCGTCGGAGTTTATAATGCAGAGAAGCTCAACTGAACAAAACCGCACGCGCCACTACGGCACTGCAGGCCCGCTGCGCGTCCGTGGGTTTCGCGAAGCTCCTTGCTAGTTTAAAACAATTCAGAATTCTAGTTTCCGTGCAGGGCATCTGTGGCCTGACCACAATTCATCACTCAAATGGTGTTCAGCACGTCACGCTGCTGCCAATAGTAGCTGCTCATCGGACGTAAGACAATAAAAACACCGGCGGCACCCGCGCGGCTCGAAGCTCTCGTACTGCGCCGCAGCGCCTCTGGTGGGTGGACATCGCACCAGCGCCTTGCCGCCATCCCGCCAGTCAGCGCGCGCGCGCGCGGAAACTCCGCCCGCCCGCGCTGCCCCCGCGAACCGCACACCAACACACGCGCGACTGGAATGTCGAATGGACGAAATCGTACTGGGCGGAACGAAGGCTGGTGTCGGCACCAGGTGGACGCGCGCGCGCAACACATGGTCACTAGACGGCGGGCGGCACAACGGGCGGCCCGAGCGGCCTCGCACGCGCGCTACCAAGCAGCGAATATAAATTATTAGCTCTAAAGAACGGTCAGACGCGCCGACAGTCTAGAATATCACGGTGGGGGCGCAGGCCGGCGAGGCGATGCCGACGTCCGGCGAGCTGACGGGTCGCGCTGCCCGGGCGCCTACTGCCCCTCCTACACGGGTTCACGGCCACCCTAGTCTAGTCGCCACGTGTCTATCTAGTTGCCAACGGAGCGGTGTTTGGCACACAAATCTAACAAGCTCAATCGGTTACCGCTAGGAGGGAGACAACGCCGGCCGGGCCCTATTTCCTATTGCTAAGGCCTTCGCTTTTGCTCTTCGAGCTGGACAGCCCTGCCGAAAGCGGAGAGGACTCGCCTGAAACGAAGGCCGTCGACTTACAATGACGCCGACCCATTTGCGCATCATAAAACGTGCTGATCGCTGGTCACAAGGGTGCTCATTGATTTCGTCTGTGTTGTATTGTTATTCCAGCACCACCAGTTCCAGGAGCATCTCAGGTGTCCTTCCACAAGTAGCGAGGGCCCCGCCCCGTTCCCCATCCTCAGTAACTTTCAGGATGCACATTGGTGAGTTTGTGTCCAACAGCATTCTGCACACAGATACGCGGCTGCGAACAACGTGTGCTATGTTCCAACGACAGTTTCGTCAACGACATTGCGTTGCCAGCTTAAGCAAAGCATTTGAGGTGTTCTGTACAGGATGATGTTTCCGGAC